CGCACCTGATGTCCAATCGGTGATATCTCAATAAGGCATATGAATCACCAAGTATTACAATTCTTTACACTCATCGTTAGCAAAAAAAAGGCTATAATTACTCTGGGCGGTCTAACAAAACCAAAGATCTGTCCATCACTGTCATGATGTATGTAATAATGATATCCTGCAATTTTTATTCGTTTGCTTTTAAAATTGTGACATGTCCAAATCACGTTTTTTATTCGGATTCGGTGTAAATTACCTTAGAATAAACAGAACACGATGCTAGATTGTTTGCCATTCAGTTTTTTTGTTATGCAAACAAGATTTCTAACGGGGCATCGTTTTTGTCAATAATAGAGGCTATTGAATGCTTTTCACGGCTAAAGTTACTTTTAGGGTTAAGCTGTTGGAGAAAATTTTGTTTTGTGGCGAGGAAATTAATATTTTTTAAAGTTCATCCACAGTAGTATAATACAACCAGTACCACGAGATCCGCCCGAGTTGCCTGGGACCTTCAACCGCTCTTAGGATGAGATTCTCATCCAACGCGTTCAGTGCTGTAGTATCGAAGGATTCGACGGTCCCACGGACATCGGATTTGTTATACCTAATAAACGGTCGGAAATTGATATTGTGTTGAGTTTATTCGCTGGTGTTATTATTGTTTTCAGTTTTTGTATTGGTTATAAGTAACTTACCACAAAATCGTCTATAATATCCTTAAATTTCGCTTATGGTAAAAGAACGAAATTGGTTGATTTTTACTATGGTTCATCCTTCAGTAAGCGGGAATGATTATTTCCTGCTCGGAGCTTTGTTCACGTAGTGGTACTCTTACTAGTTAACAAATTCTCTCTTAGACGAAGGTTTCATACATGCAGTCAAGCCGCGTTGAAATTAATCGACTCCAAAGCACACTGCTGTTTGGGTCGGATCTTTTCTGCACTGATGAGAGGTAATGTCTCGAAACCGATCTGTAGTTGATCTACTCGACTGATTTCAGCATGATCCTGCTGCTGGATGAACGAGAACCGCCTGCAAGACTAACCTCTGTGAGGTATCTTGCACAAATGTTCGTCAGAATATAATTCAATGTCCAACGTGGTATTAGCCGGGAAAGTAGTTGTATTCGGGCAGTCATTCACCAGAACGTAGGGTGTAGGTACTTTGCATGAGATGAATGTTTTGAGATTTTATTTTGCAATATTCATTTTTAGTATTAAGGTACTATATTTTAATCATCTTCTCATCATACAGAATATATCAATGGAAAATTTATATTAATACCCCCAGTCTGACGCCTATTAATATTATCTTAAACATACTATCAGAAAAAAAATCGAGCGGTTCTTTTGGCGGTATTTTCGCATTCTTTGTCGGTGTTTTCGCGTTCTTTGTCGCATATCCCTATTTTAATGGCTCGTTAGCGGAGTCCTCAAGGGATATAGAGGGTAGACATATCTCAATGATTTTGTGAGTGAATTGCAGTGTTATTTGCTTGAGACGACTATGTTGCTTTCTTTGATGTAGCGACATGTTTGTATTCTTGAAATTCTTTTACTCTCAGACAATACTGACAATGGTTGAACTTTTTGTTTCCATTGTATACAGAGGCAGGTACATACTAGTACATACGATACGTCATTTGACCTTTTGATGTATTGTGGCAATTGAGGTAATTATCGTGGCGGTTTATTCAATGATTACTTCTCTTGCAACGCATTGAGTGCTGTTCAATAAATACTTGTTATTTACATTTTTTTTATTCCTCTTCGACAGTTGAAATATTCGTCATTGGTTTTTCAAACCATTTGTTAAAGTTGTTCCCATCGAAATCCAGTGAAGTTGTTAGAAAATCCCAAATACCCAATGTATTTTAACATCACGTTGATTACCAATTTGTTTGATCTCCCCTGAATTAAGTGATCTAAATTATTGCATCTTTTTTTAATTATTCATCATCAACTATCAAAATTGAAACCATTTGGATATTTACGTAGGTTTTTGTTTATGTATCCGGTACTGGTAATATTGATCTCAGTAGGCGTTACCTGATATATCCATCGTAAAGATTGACATTTTTGTAAATATACCTACATGTTGTTTACAGTAAAAAATGACTCGTAAAAATTGGAAGAATCAACAGCGACAAAGAAGTTGGAAGGTAGGCGTAAATTTTTTAAACTGTGACAGACACAGTTCGTTAAACTGTGTCTGGTTTCATATTATCGCAGAATTATATTTTATTTTATACCTGGTGAGTTCTGAAACAATTCTGAGAATTCTTTATTAGCCGTCATTTCCCACCACAGAAATAAAGAAAATGAAAAGAAAGCTAAAAAGTTTTTTCCCTAACTACATTGAGTACCTTTTCAAAGAATTTCAGAGCCATTCAATACACCTGTAATCCAGTCATTTAAGCTTAAATTGGGTAAGAATCTCGGAATTCGAGATACCCAGCTGTAAGTCTGTAAATACTTGTATATTGACACCCTAAAAGTTGTCTCAAAACCTACATATGGTATGGTGTAAGCAACTATTAAATTTCAAGGTCAAAGATCACAAAAATCGGTTTTTTGCGCTTTTTTTGGAAATATCTCATNAGTTGTTAGAAAATCCCAAATACCCAATGTATTTTAACATCACGTTGATTACCAATTTGATTGATCTCCCCTGAATTAAGTGATCTAAATTATTGCATCTTTTTTTAATTATTCATCATCAACTATCAAAATTGAAACCATTTGGATATTTACGTAGGTTTTTGTTTATGTATCCGGTACTGGTAATATTGATCTCAGTAGGCGTTACCTGATATATCCATCGTAAAGATTGACATTTTTGTAAATATACCTACATGTTGTTTACAGTAAAAAATGACTCGTAAAAATTGGAAGAATCAACAGCGACAAAGAAGTTGGAAGGTAGGCGTAAATTTTTTAAACTGTGACAGACACAGTTCGTTAAACTGTGTCTGGTTTCATATTATCGCAGAATTATATTTTATTTTATACCTGGTGAGTTCTGAAACAATTCTGAGAATTCTTTATTAGCCGTCATTTCCCACCACAGAAATAAAGAAAATCAAAAGAAAGCTAAACATTTTTTTCCCTAACTACATTGAGTACCTTTTCAAACAATTTCAGAGCCATTCAATACACCTGGTTTTATTAAAATTACAAAAATGGTTTCAGTGGAACTTATTGAATTGAATTACACTGAATACGCATTTAAAAAATGAACTATGATGGCGTTTTCCTAAACAAACAAAGTCTTCTTTTGAAAACACTTTCCCAACACTAGAACGAAGTACGGTCTCTCGACGCGTGTTTCCCTAACCAATTTATCGTCCTCAGGAGATCAAAGATTTCCTCAATAAGAGCTTGAGTACAGTAAAGTATACTCAGTTGTTTCCAAAAATTATTACATTGAAGGAAACGGAATGTTGTATTCAGATACTGTTGAAAATACAATTTTAGTAATCACACGTTAAAATTTAAGACCTCGTTAGTCTAATTCCACATAAAGAATTCGATTAGAAGCTCATTCAAAAATTCATTGTTTCTTCAGTTATTGTTTCATTATTATAATGCGAAGTTGAGGTACACTTTCATTGTGAATAGTAAAATTAACAATGAGTAAGTTGAAGCCACGTGAACAATAGTAATTTACGTAACAAGTCTGGATAATACTGTTTTTTGGACCAGTAGACAAAATTCTACGTGCATAATTTTTTTATTGTTATTTATATGAAAATTCGAGCAATTGCTAATGTCGAAGAAATTCAATTTTTTCAATACTTGGGATATTCAAATGCTTTTTTTTGAAGTCAGAACAAGAAGGTAAAGTTTCTGATTCACATTGATGTGATAATTTTTGAATGGTCTTGGCAATTTTATTTTGTTCGTGAGTGAATTCATATATATCCTTCAGCAACATTGGTGATGTTTCCACCATTATCAGAAAGTACCTAACGTCGCTGAAGTTCGATAGAATACTATGGCCTGTGTAATTTTTAGGGTTGGGTAAATTTCAACGTCTGCTATTCTCAATCCCAGATTTCCAAAACTGGCATTGGCTTGCATTAGATGTTTCATTATTTGGCATTATCCGGGAGTGTAATATCTTGAATTTCATTGATCAAGTGGTATGAATTCCTCAAACTGAATTTTGATTTGATATTGGTGTGGTTTTGAATAATTGCAATGAGTTTTTCGGATATTTTAACTGAAGGAGCTGTGACGAAAGAAACTACCGGTCTTATCGGGTAGTTAACTTTGTGTAATTTAGTCAATGAATACAATTCACGTGGTAGTGGGTTCATGACTAACGATCGGAATTTTTCCTTTTCATCCATGACACAATGAATATTTTTCAAAGTTTCCTTGACTTCTTTCTGGTATAAATGGGTAAGGTCGTTTCTGAGACAATCATACATTCCAGCATTTAGAAAGTCTAAAGTCTTCTCCACGTATTCTTCTTTGTTCATGGCTATGACAGTTTTGCCTTTATCAGCTCGCGTAAAAATGTCTTCATTTTCATAGTAAGTGAAAAAATTGTACCAATTTTCTCAAAATGCAAATTCTGAGTAGAAAATCAAAAACGAAATCGTCTGTCGTCTTTAATTTGTCACAAAAATTGCAATCTAACCGTTTTATGATCTATTATGATTTTTCGAAAATATTTTCAAAATGTTCAGTAAAACCTAACCTAACCTAACCTAACCCATCAGTTTTGCATTATATATTAAACATCCAACATCCAAATAAATGATCTAGGAAAGAGCAGAAGGGCACCTACTTTTTATTTTTGGTGATAATTCCTATTTTGAAAGCTGTAATTTCGCCAAAAATGAAAATTTGGCACCATCTGTTGATTTTTTCAATTCATTCAGTTTCTCGGTAGATTTTAAAAAGTCTGGGTCATCATCAAATTCATTTGAATGAAATATTCACGAGTGAAAGTAGCTTATTTCTTCGAATATTCCGGTGCTAACGTGAACTCTTTTTTTGTAGGTGAAAGAAAGAGGATTCGTCCTCGCAGAGATGGACACAGAGCTGTGGAGTGACGAACCGACCCCGTCAGCTAGTCGTCATGGCAGTCAAGATGGTGAAATATCAGAGTTAACCAAAGAAAGCTGGGAGGTACGTCGAATTAATAGATTTTATTTTAACATGGCAATAGTTACGTAGAATTCGGCGTTGACGGGATATAGAGAATTATCAGTTGACACTCGATAAGAAATTATTGAATGGGGAAATGAAAATTTGAGAAGAAAGAATCGTGAAATTCTACAAGATATAAGGCAAGTTAAAGAACCACCAGAATCTTTCGCATTTGAAGTATATATCTCAAATATATATCTGTAACTTTCGATAAGTGATAAATCGTACATTCCCAGTTCAAAAATAAACAAACGAATGTTTTATCTTCTGTGGCGCGAGAAATTATTTTACACTGTCTTCGCTCCATCAGTTATCTTTTTCCGAAAATATTATTTCAAAGTTTTCTTTTCTTTGATGTTATGAATATTATTGAGTAACAAATTTTTCTCACAATATCAAAGACCTTCTTTACAAGTAAACTTTTTCCGAAACGATGTTCAGAAATACTTTTCTGGAAAATATCTTGTTCAATTCGAATTTATCGATGGCATTCCTCATTTGTTTTCCGTAAGTCAGTTACTATTTTCAGAAAATTATTTTTATGAAACATAACACTGGATATCAAACATGTATTTCATTTTTTTTTCCTAAAAGTGAAACGGGTGACAACTAGATTAACTACTCATTTAATTTATATTTGAAGAAAATTTATTTTTAAGGAAGACATTTGAATTCATTAGCGTTGGAATGAGATATATTTTTGAGGGAATAGAATTTTCAGTTTTCTGAAAGATTTCATCTTCTTTATTATTTGAAACAAATATAGTTTCAAAATGAAAAATCAAATGGTGAGTTCTACTATCTAGTCAGATCTTTCATACTTCTTCAATTATACCTTCTATCGATCGCAATATGCTTTCTTTTTTCTCCATCTTTTTTGTTTTGAGTCAAATTTAAGGACTTTCATTCTCCTTTTGACCCCCGAAAATATTTCGTGCTCGCGTTATAGTTTCCGAGGTCGTGTTTTTCAACTTCTTGAATGGTTTCGTCGATTTTGTATTTCGTTGGACATATATTGAAATTTCTCTCTACTTTTTTGATAATTCTTTTCAATATAATGACTAATTTTTTATAACCGTAACATCCTCGTTTTGTTCTTATTTTCTTTTAATTTTTCTCTGGTGTAACATGATCTCGACTTAATAAAGAGTTTTTTTTCCAAGAACGTATTATCTCTTTCATATCAATTTAGTCATTTTATTCACCCCCGATTCACGAAACTTCACTAATATATTTCCTTACTATCTTTATCAAACAGTAGAATACAAGTTGAGTTTTCACATACCTGCATCGATCCTTGTCATTTGGAAAGCATCACAGGATCGTATCAGCCCATTTGTAACGTTGAGTTTTTTTGTCATGTTTGTTATTTTGAACATTAAATTAAAACTCATATTTTACTGTCTCTTTTGAGCAATATGTCCGTTTGATTTGTCGTTCTCGAACAACAGAAGGTATTATTTTTCAAATTATGGTGTCTTTACCGGTTTGCACAATTCAATAAAGTGATACTGAAAGCATTTAATAGAAAATACTTGATGACTCCAGATCTGAATGTTATTCTTCGTAACGAATACCTCAGCATTGTTCTATATCCTTCAAAACAATATAGACATTATTTTTATTACTACGATGCACTGTTTGGAACCTTTGGTGTAGTAATGAATATTACTGGAGTTTTATCCCAACACCAAACCGTTATTTTAACACCTCGACACGTGTTTCCATCCCAAGTGATCATCTTCAAGAGGAAGATTAAACTAAACTAGTAATTTTAACACCACGACACGTGTTTCTAGTAAGATTAAACTAAACTGGTTCAATCTTGCTCTTGAAGATGATCACTTGGTGATCGAAACACGTGTCGAGTTGTTAAAATAACGGTTTAGTGTTTGGATAAAACTCCAATATTAATCATGTTTATTCATAAGTTGTTGAATATTCTCATTTACTACCATTTCTCCACCCGTCAATGCTGAATTCTCCGAAAATAGTTTTGAATATATAGTTAAAAATGTAGTAAAGTGATGGTGGTGACATACAAAATAAAATTTTGGTTGTATTTGGTGGTGCAGCTTATCAAGGCCCCCTATGTTAAGATCTACAGCATCATCAAGACGCAGACAATGTCGGCAGATGGCAGCGATGAGGTGATTTCACTCACGCACGACACCACAATAGCCACACTCTCTTTAATGATTGATATGACAGTTTATATAATTGATTCTCTTCCCTCTCTGGCATTTTATATACTACATTTTCGACTCTCGGTATCCGTTAATGTTGCGAGCTTGAGTAGAATAACCGAATAGGACATTTCGTCAATGATTAACTGATTTGAAGTTTTAATTATGATGATGGGAAGGTAAACCGCTTCGTTACCTAACGCGTTACTTTACCAATCTGTCTGGCTATCCTATCTTTCATACATATGTCAGCGGAAGGCAGGCTCCTCCTCTGTCGTTAGACAAACGCTCGGTATTTAGTGTTTGAGAGACATATACAGTTGACAGTATTATGAAAATCTGTTTGAAGGTGATTGACAATGATAGTAATGTTATTTTTCGGGAATATTTACCCTCATATTAATGTTTTTAAACGTTTTGCAAAACGAAAGTGGTAACCATCTTCAAGAGTTACGCCACTACCATATATGCGACCTCTATTGTATATTTAGTATATTCTACTTATTCATTTTCGTTTTGTTTATTCATGAATGCAAAACAAGCTTGTCAATAAAGTTTCATTAACGTTTACTTCTTTCAGTTTAACATTCCTACAATAAATTTTCGTATGTAAACACGGAGAGACAGGTTATTAAAATTTCAATTAGCCTGGGTGTATATTCAGGATCCTTATCATTCGCTACCTAATTATCTAAACGATTCATTACAAGAAGGTACTCAAATAACAGCGGAATATTTGAACCATTTCTGTTTCGGTTTAACTTTTACATGATGAAAAATATTATTTTAGGCCAAACTATCTATTTTGAATGAGATGGATATAATGTTATCTAGAGATTTGTGATTCACTATTTGATATAAGCTTTGAAAGGTATGAGACGAAAATGAATCTAACTATATTAAAATAAAAAAGTAAGAATCAGAGGCAGTACTGTCTGGTGAATATGACAGGGGAAGTAGAATTTGAGTTTCCCGCTTCACTCCATATGTATACCCCTAAACGAGCAACTCTATGTATGTAGGTCTACACTCTTGAAGTTTGACAACCCCTATAATCTTCATTATTGAATTTTATAGTTGGCACCCTCGATTTATGTAGGTCCCCACTCTTGAATTTATAAGTTTGACTACCTCTATAATCTTCAGTGTTGAATTTTATAATTGGCACTCTCGATTTATGTAGGTTTCTACTCTTGAATTTATAGGTTTGACGACACCTATAATTTTCAGTGTTGAATTTTACAGTTAGCACCCTCAATTTATGTAGGTCTCCTTTCTTGAATTTATAAATGTGACTACCTCTATAATCTTCAGTGTTGAATTTTGTAGTTGGCATCCTCGATTTTTATAGGTCTCCACTCTTGAATTTATAAGTTAGACTACCTCTATGATCTTCAGTATTGAATTTTATAGTTGGCACCCTCGATTTATGTAGGTCTCCACTCTTGAATTTATAAGTTTGACTACCCCTATAATATTTAGTGTTGAATTTTACAGTTGGCACCCTCAATTTATGTAGGTCTCCTTTCTTGAATTTATAAGTTTGACTACCTCTATAATCTTCAGTGTTGAATTTTGTAGTTAGCACCCTCGATTTTTATAGGTCTCCACTCTTGAATTTATAAGTTTGACTACCTCTATGATCTTCAGTATTGAATTTTATAGTTGGCACCCTCGATTTATGTAGGTCTCCACTCTTGAATTTATAAGTTTGACTACCAGTGTTGAATTTTATAATTGGCACTCTCGATTTATGTAGGTCCACTCTTGAATTTATAAGTTTGACTACCCCTATAATATTTAGTGTTGAATTTTACAGTTGGCACCCTCGATTTATGTTTTTATGATTTATGTTTTATTTTTTTGTTTCGTATGCTATAAAAGCGTGTTTTTGTAGTCTTTTTAGTCTATATTCAGTTTATTTAAACTTTGGGATCAATCAGCCGTATATTGTTTAGAAAAATGACCATTGATATTTTCCGATTCCTGAAAGGGAGCCTGAAAATCAACTACCAAGCAGAAGGCGCGCAAAGGAGGGTTACAAATAAGGCGGCAGTCGCGCGTGTTAATAAAAAAAATACTTTTTTCAAATGAAGAAATACTTGTAAAGTGAGTTCGAAATATATCAAGGTTAGGTTAGGTACGTACAGCGCCATCTGCGCGCGAATAGATCAAGCAATAATGTCTATAATTCTGTCAAATACAGATCCCGAGCTTGAGGGTTACAAAGAAACATACATACATGCATACATACATACAAGTGAAGCTAATATAAAGCGTGTAAGTTTTGATTGACCAACTTGTCTTTTTTATATCCACTCACAACATAATCAATTAATTAATTAACCAATCAATTCTCACTTTTTATTCAAAAAATGTCAATTTATGGTTGGACTGCAGCCTCAACGCATTTTTTGTCAAGTTTTGGGAATATGGTAGTAATATAGCTGCAGGGAGTCCACCCGAACCAGCAAAATTTTCAAAGTGGTACATGATAATAAAAAAAAGTTTGGGATTCTCTTCTTCAGAGGAAAATTATATCAAAATTATCTACATTCATATCCAAATTCTAAAAACTGAGAATAAGCCGAGTTTGCACTTATTTAATGACCAGCTTATAATTTACACAGAACATGTAGACAGCCATGGGTAATATCAAAAGCAGTATTTCAGGGCATATGAAAGTATCCGGTAGAGCTGACCTTGAAATATTGAGAAGATTCGTAACCGGACGTCATTTCATCCCGTGAATTGGTGCAGCGTCACAGCTGATCAATTGAGAAAAATCTAAAT